TTCTCCCTCTGCCCTCTTCCCTCTCGTGCTCTCTGTCTCTCATTCTCTCTCTCTCAAATAAATAAATAAAATCTTTAAAAAAAAAAAAAAGAACAATAACTAATAATGAAGTAGAACAATTATATAACAGTATATTGTAATAAAGACAGAGAAGGAAAAGTGAAAATGAGTCAGGCATAGCATACAGTGTGGAAAGTGGAAAAAGGCCTCCAGTCAGGTGAGGCCACATGTGGGCTCTGGGAAGGGGAACACCTAGATGCAAGTTATGTCCTGCACAGCTCTGCAGTGCTATAGATTATGTGAATGGCAGAATGTGCCATGACTTCAGGCTCTATTTATATGGGTGGCAATTTTGGTAATTTATCATCTTTTCCCTGAAAGGTCAAATTAGTTGTGTTATATGGTGGACTAAAAGAGCTCTAATTCACGGGGCACTGTTTTTATTTTAGAAAAATCTTCAAAATACTTAGGGAAGAAAAAAAAATTTTTTTTAATTACTCATTTACTTAAGTAATCTCTACACCGAACATGGGGCTTGAACTCATGACCCCGAGAACAGGAGTCGCATGCTTCTTACTGAGCCAGCCAGGCGCCCCATGAAAAAAAAATTTTTTTAACCACAAACACTGGGATTGAAATAACATGAAAATGAATGAACTGAATATCAGGTACTTCATATTTCTGGGAATTAACTTTTAAACACCTTTGTAATGTTATTTTCCTTTAAAAAAATTTTTTTTTTATTTTTCATTATGTTCAGTTAGCCAACATATAGTACATCGTAAGTTTTTGTTGTAGTGTTCAGCGATTCATGAGTTTGCATATAACACCCTGTGCTCATCCCAACACGTGCCCTCCTTAATACCCATCACCCGGTCACCCATGTTGTCATTTTATTTTCATTGCTTAGAAAAACGTCATAGTTTGGTCTTCCTGTTATTATTAGCCTCTCAACCACAGTCGTCCAAGGATGTTTTTTGTATGCATTGAGATGTAACTTGACAGTGTTACTTGATAAAGGTGATAAACCTTGATAAAGGCTGCTCTTTTTCAACATGGCTGCTTTTCTTAACCCCAAATAAATTTTAGGTGTATCCATATATAGCACTTTAAAACAAGCAAACAAACAAAAGACCAATCCAGCTTTTATTAGTTTCTCCCAGTTAGTTACATGCCAGTTAGTACTATTTCCATTACATTCTTCCTAGTTAAGCATCCTCTCCTCTTTTCATTTTTAATCTTCTAAACAGTGTTTATCTTCAGTGCACGTGACTGGGTTTAAAAATCATCCCAAGAATGATGGTTTCATGCAGTTAATGCTCATGGTTTTCTTTCTGAAGAGTTACCGAGGTTCAGTGTCTCTTTACATCTCTACATTGATAAAAGCCATGTTACAAATTATCCTTTAAGTTCATCCTGTTCTCCAAAGATTGACTGTGGCTTTCCATAGACTCATTAATTGCGATTCAAGTGGCACTTGCTTTCCTCTCCCTCAGTGTCATGGTAGTGAACCTTGGGGATCGCCTTAGGTCATTTAAGCCCTCTGAGATGTCAGGTTCTGCATTTCCTTCAGGAGCTTGCATTTTTCACTGACTCTAAACTTCCACATAAAATATTCCATTTTTAAGCCCCATCTATCTTTCTAATTGAAAATATGACTAGTTGCAAATGCCAAATCAAAAAATATAGCTGGTTGTAAACACTAAAATCACAAGTTATAATAACTGCTATTACAGTATTTTTCAAAATGTATTCCTTGGGATATTGTATATTTTACAGTAAAAAAGGACTCTGGTCAAAATATATTTTGGAACTGGTGGGCCAAACAACATTCAACACATGTATTTTTCATTTTACTGTTTATAGCTTTTCATGTGCTGGTGTGAGTTCCCATGAAGAGTGCATGATGTGGAGCAGCTCCCAAATGCATTTACCCATGGGGCTGCTTTGTATAGTTAGGGCTCTTTGGGAAACCCTGAACTGTGCTGTCATTTTGCATTCATTCCTCCCACGGCATGCCTCTCTCTCAATTCTTTGTAGTCTAGCCTCAACACTATTATCAGAGTGAGTTTTGTCTTTCCTTAGTGTCTCTGGGAAACTTCAGAACTGTCTTCAGAACTTTTGGTCATCATCTCACACCAGTCGCTGTCTCTGGGCCTTCTCTGCTCTTGCACCTGTTCTTGTCTTGGCTTGAAATGCCGTGCCTCCATTACCTCTTCTCTGAAAAACTTTCCCTGATGCCCTCAGTGATTTACTGTGACTAATGTGAGATCATACATCCATTTAATTCATTGAAAATATTTGTTCAGCATATGTACTTTTTGTGAGACTTAAGTGGAAGTTATCAATATTAAATTGAGGAAGTTTAGAGCATAATTGAATTTTCATATATATATCTTTGTCTTTTTATTTTCTTTCTCTAGTGTTCTTTTAAAGATGACAACATCCGTTCCTTATTAAAACCTTTAGAACTGGAACTACAAAAGACAGTCCATACGTACTGTGGAAAAATTTACAAAATATTTATCAAACAGCTAACAAAAAGCATACAAGATCGTTATGATAGACCACCAAAGGAAAGGTGATCCTTGGTGACCGTTAAATCAAATGAATTAAAACAACAAAATATCAGAGGACATGTGTGAAGAAATGGTCTTGGATGAAGTGTTCAGGAAGGAATTATTCATCTTCAGAATAATTGTTTCTCCTGAAGAAGTTAAATGAGTATATATATTCATGTAATGAAGAATAAATTAAAGTCTTGAACTCCAGCAAGAAGACATTTTTGATACCTGATGTTTTGTAATGTTATTTGCTGTCAATACAGTATTGATGAAAATATTATTGAATGGTTTGTAGCCTACAGACTTTGGTTGACTCTTCTCAAGTGAGTAGGGACAGTAGGGGTGTATGGATGGAGAAAATGTACCTCATACACAGTGGAAACATTCAAACTGTGAGTATAGCAATAATTTTATGTCAGCACTAACCTCACTTTAAATGTGTGACAGAAAGTTTACAGGAACAGAACAGGTTCTGTTTCTAAAGCAATGTGATGTAACCGATGTAACCATTGACAATCGATGTGTGCCTTTATACATTTCATCTCTGTTTTAAAATATTCCTGTGACAATCATGTTTAAAATTAGATTATAAGTAAGCTGCATGTTTAAAATTGAGCTATATAAGAAAGTGGGAAAACCATAAAAATGTTGGAGTTTTAGTCTGTGTGTGTTTGTGAAGTGTAGTATTTTCATTTGTGTATGTTAACCTGTGTTGCCAAAACTCAAATCTGAGATTGTTAAGATATTTTTGGAAATTTTCATCACTTTAAATGAAAATTTTCAGCTTTACTGGGCATTCTGGAAGCAAAAAGTAGCTGATCATAAAGTGAGAACCTAACTAGTATACTTACGTGATTGTGGAAAATGTGATGGACCAAAAGGCATAAGCTATATACTTCCTGTGAACAGTCATTTTAGTTACAATGAAGCAGAAAAAAGTGGTCGATTTAAACTTTTTTCTTCTACCTCAGAATGGCTTTACAAGATACTTTGAAGAAGCAAATGTAGAGAGCCTTACTTTAAGTCAGTTAGACAATGTTCATGATGATTTGGATTAAGAAGATTGTTATATCTGAGTATAGAAAAAGTAGTTTTGATTGGGTTAATATGCATATCTTCCTTTTTTGAACATTACTTAAGACTTTAATCTCGAAGATAAGAAAAATATTACTTCTCTTAGTGTTCTTGACTGCTCTCTAACATGACTATAGATTCTGAGTACTTAGCATGTACTGTGCTGTGGCATATATCTCATCTTATTAGGTGCTACGTGGTTATTCTCCTTTTTCCTTTTCTGATATCTTAATGCTTAAGTAGAGAAGGAAAAATCTGAAGGAAAAAAAAAAAAACTTATGTGAAAAAAGTGGTGATCGGCTTTATAAAGATAGAGTGTCCTCTGTGGAGACATGGCATATGCAGAAAGACATGGTCAGTGCAGTTGTCCCCTGTCTTTTGCAGTTCAATCAGGGCAAACTGAGAGAGGAAGGTGTAAAAAAAGGCAAATTAGAAGTTGATAACCAGCCCAGCACTCTTTGAACAGATGCGTTTAGAGAACACAATCTGTATGTCCTTGGCAGAATGCCATGGTGAATATAAGCACTTGTGAACTGTGCTGATAATTGAGTTTACTGAGTAGAGAATTAGAATCCTAGGATTTTGAAGTTTGGAGGGTATATATAAGATCATTTCTAATGGTCGCCGAAAGAACTTTGCCTGTCTAGATTAGACTCTCGTGGAGAGCTTGTTGAGCATGGATCCCCGGGCTTCCCCTTAGACTTCTTGGACACTGTGTCTAGGATAGGGGCTGCAAATGTTTTTTTAATGAAGAGATTTTAAAACTACATAAAAGTAGAACAGTACAGTGGTACTCATCGCCCAGATTAAACATTAAATATCTTACCATATTTGTGTCATGTATTCCTTTTCCCTTCGCTGAAATATCTTAAAGAAAATGCCGGATAGCCTGTTATTTCACTGCTATGAGTGCTTTGGTAACTACAATGACATCATACCTCCTCTGACTTCATTTACTATCCATTCCTAAGCAAATTTCCTTAATTGTCTCCAGTGTTAGTGTGCAAAAATAAGTCATCTTATGATTCTATTTTTAATAAGCATCTCAGATGATTTTGATGTCAGCTAGTTTGGGAAATACTGGGAATCGTTTTGCCAAGTTGAAGTTAGGATACCATAATTCTTGGCACAGTTAGATTATAAATGTGATTCTGAAATATTAGAGGAATTGGGGTTATTGGCAAGATATGAACTTATATTATTAGTAAGTTTCTTAGGTTTAATTTCCTCAGTGAACAGAGAATCTCAGCCCCATTGGCTCTAATAAAGTGGGTTGGGGCTATGTAGTGTGTGGTCATAATTTAATCCAGCTGGGCTGTATATCTCTTTTTTCATGTTGTGGCTTATTTACACTGTCACACACTCCACATTGTGGATCAGTTAGAAGGTTTTCATCTGGTTTTATTCAGACCTGACCTAATTGGGCATTTTACCATAAATTGGGATATGGTGAAAACTTTCTACTTAGGGACTATATTTACCTAAAATTTAGGATATCACAGAAAGTCCGTAACAATAGTAAAATGAGTTTTCTGAATTTATCTTTAGATAAGGTAACTTTTTCTATGAGAATGCTTAAGAAATGCAGTTCTCAGCATTAATGAGGTTAAATTTATAGAACAACTTAGAGAATATATTTCTTTTCATAAAACGGTATATCTATGCAGTTATATAAATTACATTATATATTCTTTGAGTCTTTGTATTAGAACAATTCTGACCTCAGAACTATCTCTGGGCTACAGTATTACCAAAGTGGAATGACTTTAAAATGTAGTCATATTTCATTTGTATGAAATAGCCATCTTAAAAGAACTTGGAAATCTTTAGAAAATATATATTGTGATTTACATTTTAAAGCAATATGTAACTTTTTTTTTCCCCCTGTGAAGAATAGTTCATAATGTATAAGGTAACCCAGTTATCTTTTGGACACTTTAGAACCTGAAATAATATTACCGCTTACTCATTGCTCTTTCATCTCGCCTCCTGTCAGATGTTACTGGTATAATGGCAAAAAACCAGTCTGTGTATTATATCTGGATTCTTTTCTTGGATGGGAACCTCAGGCATATCCTTTCACCTTCTCTGTGCCTTAGGTTTGTAAACAATCGATATGCTCTTCCAACCTCATGAGTCTCAGAAGTCGTAAGTCAGAAAGTTACATGACTCAACAGAGATAATGGATCTGAATGCATTCTACATGGCTAATACATGCCACACACAAGCATTAGTGTTGAAGTTCTGTTTTGCTTCCTATACAGATCATTCTGTTTCCTTAGGGTGAATGTTTTCTGACATGTATTATATCTCCAGTAAGAATTTGCTTATATTATGTAAGGAGGAGTTTTTAAGGAAGAGAAAGCAGAGAAGAAAGGAGTGATTATAAATGAATGATCAAAAAAAAAAAAAAAAAAGGAAGGAAAAGAGAGAAAGTGAGGAAAGTGAGGAAAGAGAAGGGGATAAAAGTGAGAATGGCAAAAGGCAGAGTAAGAGAAAAGATGGAATGAGAGTGGGAAAATCGAGAAGTGGAGGTGGAGAGAAATGCTGTGGAAACTGTCACTTTTTGAGTTGTAGGCCCCCCACCCTGTGCCCCTGTCTGCCTGCCTTCTGTTTTCAGTTTGTGAGGCCCTCCGGGGTCAGGAAGGGTACTGGCTTTCATGGAGGCAGCAGCACAACTACTTTGGTTTGATTCGTCAATACTAGAGTCCTGTTGCAGTCACTCTACTCACTGATCTAATTTAGTGATAATGATTCAACATTGTATTTCTTGACTGGATCCCAGTCAGTTGTTGGATTATACAAGACTAACCACCGGGATTCACAGGGGAGTCCAGGGTGGAGGGGACGGCTCAGTTAGGTTGGAAGGGGCCCCAGGAATCTGTTAACAGTTTTCCAGAGGATACTGATAGGAAGCCAGATTTGGGAATCACTGCCCCCCCCGCCCCCGAATGGCAGTAGATCACATCTGTTGATTCCTTAGTAGGCATACTTTCAGTGGAACAGTTATAAATGGATTCAAGAGATGAGCAGACAGGAGAAACACATTGAAGGGAAAAGCCTGAAAAGATAATTTTCAGAAGTTTGTATTGTAAGTAATAAATACCTTAATAGTAATCAGAACCTCTTTGAAGTGTTTTAGAAAGATCATGGATCTGTTGTTTTTTTTTTTTAAATACCTTTTTTGGTTCCTTAGAGTAAATAGAGAAGGATAGTAGTGGTGCAATAGGTCAGGTATGGGGCCAATTATCCATTTATTAAATGTACTTTCAAGTGTCTTAAAACAACAGTTGCCTTATTGCATTTTAATATTTAATAAAAGTAGATTAATGATTTGTACTGTAACAGTTATCCTTTTTACATTGCCAAAGCAACCCTTTTTTGCCTCTTAAAGTCTGGCTAAGTTGTTCCAGTGTTCGCTGTTCCCTAATTCACTGAACAGAAAACCAGATTTCTAAAATCAAGTTATATAAACTTAACTCTAAGAGGTGGCACAGGAATGTTGTTTTTTTTTTTTAAACTAGAATATGATGTTAATTCAAATGTCTAGGAATTAGAGAACCATGAAAAGAATATGGAATAGCATGTTGGACTAGGCAATTTAAAATTGATTAAAATAAATGTCGAATTTACCTTTAAATGGAAAACAATGTATTGTCACCTCATTTCTACCAATAATTCCAAATGTCTAACGGGATTATTTCTTTAGAATTTACATAAACTCGGTTTTTAAACAAAAAAGTGCCTTTCAAAAGGGGAAAAAAAAGAAAGGAAAATTTCTCTTAACTACCAATACTGTGAATGCTATTTGGAGGGTCTGTGGTCAGGCATTTTAATATCAAACTTAAGAACTGATGTGGAGCCTTTGCTTATGTTTGGTTTATACATACAATCTGAATTTGTGAGCATATTCGCACACATAATACCATAGCAACTCCTTGTAAAACATGAAGAGAACGCAACAGTGTTATATTCCATTTAAAAAGTAAATTGACTTTGACTGTGATGGCAAATAGCTGTTTTCAACTTTGTATAAAATCTCTTCAGGGAATATTGGAATGTTATGCAAAAATACAGTTCAGGGCTTGTTGTATACCCACAGAGTATGTCATCCATTCAACACTTAGCAGAACCCACATGCATAATATGCATTGTCATCAGTATTTGAGAGCTGGACCATTGGTTTTTGATGGATGTTGTAACAAAAGATCTGTGAAGGAGGTCGTGGTTTGTACCTCTTCCCAAAGTAAAAAACTGGAAAAGTTGCAAGTGTTTCAGTTTTTCACAGGCATTTTGCATAAATATATTAATATTTTCAGTAGTAATGGTTCTAAAGCTGCAGGAAGGCATGTTGGTATACTGTGACATGTAGAAATTACTACCTTTAAACTGCTTTTTACCTTAAAATATTATGATTTTAGGATAATTTGGATATCTTCCTCCAAGTATTTTGTGTATCTTAAAATTTATTAAAGGGGAATAAGATTCTAGATTTGGGTGTAACCTGAGAATAATGGAAATTGCTTTGTTCTGTATTGGGGGAGTTCAAGTCACCTTTTTCTTGAGAAACTGTATTGCTGTTGCTAAATAAATATGTACTCCATAAATGTTTAATTTCTTCAAATGGCGTGTCTGAATTATTCTAGCAATCAAAAACAATTTTGGAATCTTTACGGTTGGGATGCTTGATAACCAGGAGCCTAGGCAGCGGGCAGTTTCTGGAGTGGCTATTTCTGCAGCTGAACAATGTCATCAGGAAGTTAAGTACTGTCTATTTTTCCATTACCATTCTCACCACGTGAGCTTGGTCTCACCACATGGCCCCAGAGTGACCACTAACATCCCGATTGCAATCACAGCCAGAGGCAGAAATATGTCTTTTTTGTAAGAGGAAGGTTCTACTTGCTCTCATAGCCATAATAGTATCTGTGCCTAAAACAGTCACTTCGCAAAGGCAATAAAACTAACAGTTTACCCATGAAGATTTGCCCCAAACTTAAAGATGGCTTCTCCTTGAAGAATGGCTGCTCAGAGGAAAGGGAACAGTTGGTGCGGTAGAAGGGTTGGGAGCTTGGGAGATAGCTACTGGGTAGCGACAGGCCGTACATTATTTCCGGGCCCAAGTATTTCTTATAATTTCCAGGGGGATCACATTTCAGATTAGAGACAAGCACCTTTTCTGTGCCAGGGTGTAATTTTGTTTGAAAGTTCTCTGTATTGTTACGGTCTCACAGTTGGCAGTTTTACATATTTTATTATTTATACAGTGGGTTTTCTAGTCACAATATAAAGGGTTTTAAAAGATTACTGAGGTGATGACTGCTTCCAAGAAGCAGTTCTTTTAAATTCATGAAAAATGTATTAATAAATACTTATTAGCAATCTTTATATTTTCAATTAAATCTTTTATAAGTTAGAAAATGTCCCCATTGAAACAAAAATTCAAATAATACAGAAGAGAAAAGTATGTGAAGTAATGCTATCCCTGTTAAAATACCAACAGCATTTTTCACAGAACTAGAACACATAATCCTAAAATTTGTGTGGAACCACAAAAGACCCCAAATACTCAATCTTGAGAAAGAAGAACAAGTTGGAGGTACCACAATCTCAGATTTCAAGACATAGGACAAAGTTGTAGTAATCAAAACAGTATGGTGCTGGCACAGAAATAGGCACATAGATCCACAGGATGGAACAGAGAGCCCAGAAATAAACCCACATTTATATGGTCAATTTATGACCGAGGAGGCAAGAATATATAATGGGGAAAAAGTCTCTTCAACAAATGGTGTTGGGAAAATGACCAATTTCTTACACCATACACAAAAATAAAATGGATCAAAGACCTAAATGTGAGGCATGAAACCATAAAACTTCCAGAAGAAAGCATAGACAGTAATCTCTTTTTTTTTTTTTTTTAAGATTTTATTTATTCACCTGACAGCGAGAGCAGGAACACAAGCAGGGGGAGTGGGAGAGGGAGATGCAGGCTTCCCGCCGAGCAGGGAGCCCGATGCGGGGCTCGATCCCAGGACCCTGGGATCATGACCTGAGTCGAAGGCAGACGCTCAACGACTGAGCCACCCAGGCGCCCCAACAGTAATCTCTTTGACATCAGCTATAGAAACATTTTTCTAGATATGTCTCCTCAGGCAATGGAAACAAAAGCAAAATTAAACTACTGGGACTATACCAAAATAAAAAGCTTTTGCACAGCGAAGGAACAAAACAAAAAGGCAACCTGATGAAGAAGATAATTTGCAAGTGATATATCCAATAAGGAGTTGATGTCCAAAATATAAAAAGAACTTAAGTAACTCAACACCAAAGAACCAAATAATCCAGTTAAATAATAGGAAGAGGAGCAGAATAGACATTTTTTCCAAAGACATACAGATAAAAACAGACACACGAAAAGATGCTCAACATCACTAATCATGAAAATGGAAGTTAAGACCATAATGAAATGTCACCGTACACCTCTTAGAATGGCTAAAATAAAAAACACAAGAAATAAGTGTTGTTGAGGATGTGGAGAAAAAGGAACCCTTGTGCACTGTTGGTGGGAATGCAAACTGTTGCAGCCACTGTGGGGAATAGTATGGAGGTCCCTCAAAAATTTAAAAATAGAATTACCATATGATTCAATAATCCCACTACTTGGGTATTTACCAAAAAAAAAAAAAAGATGAGAACACTAATTTGAAAAGATCCCCTATATAATATTGCAGCATTATTTACAATAGCTAAGATACGGAAGCAACCCGGCATGTCTGTCTATAGAAATGGGTAAACAAGCTGTGGTATGTAGAGATACATAGATTATAAATATGTGGAAGAAATATGTATACATACATGCACACAATGGAATATTGCTCAGCTACGAAAAAGAATGTGATCTTGCCATTTGCAGCAACATGGATAGAACAAGATATAATACTAAGTGAAATAAGTCAGAGAAAGAAAAATACCATATGATTTCACTCATATGTAGAATTTAAGAAATAACAAATGAACAAAAATAGAAAAACCCATACTCTTAAATACAGATAACAAATTGGTGGTTGCCAGAGGGGAGGTGGGTGGGAGGATGGGTGAAATTGATAAAAGGGAATTAAAAGTACACATACTGTGATGAGCACGAAGTAATGTATAGAATTGTTGAATCACTATATTGTACACCTGAAACTAATACAACACTGTGTTAATTACACTTAAAGTATATGAAATCTTTTGCCATGCACACACATATATAAGACAATAAAGGTATGGTTGGATCCTACTTTGCACACTTATACAACTTGCCTTTTTTCCACATAATATGATTTTTCCTTGTCAATACATTAGATCCACCTCATTCTTTATAGCTGCATATTTTATAGTAATGTACTTATGTAGAGATTAGCATACAGACTTCTGAAATATAAATGTGTTACATAATGAGTTTTAACTTCATAGTAAACCACTTTGCCCATTTTGCTAGTTAAGTGTAATTTAATTTACTCTAAGAGGCATTAAATTGTGGACAAAAAGCTAATGTACCTCAGGCATCAAAGTAAACGTCAGATTGTTTTATTTTTTTAAGATCTTTGAGTTTTATTTAGATTATGAAATCATCAAGATAACCTCTATATCATTTTACAGACAAAATATAGTGTTGAAAAACAATAAGCTATTTTCTCTTTTTTTTCATCTATCTCCATCCCCTATTTCCCCCAGCCTCCTATCCACTTCCCTCCAGTAGCCATCAGTTTGTTCTTTATAGTTAATATTCTGTTGCTTGGTTTGTCTCTTTTTTTCCTTTGCTCATTTGTTTTGTTTCTTAAATTCCACATATAAGTGAGACCAAAAGGTATTTGCCTACCCTGACTCTTATTTCATTCAGCATTATACTTTCTAGCTCTATCCATGTTGTTGCAAAATATCGTTTTATTTTTTTAATTAAAAGGCTGAAAAATTCTGTATAGTTTATTCAATACATACTAGTAAAATAAGTAAGACTATTTTTGCGAGACTGGCATGTCTGAATATTGTTACTTTAGGGTTGTTCTTCTACCTTTACATTCTTTATTTTTTTAAAAACTATTTTGAGTGGGGTACCTGTGTGGCTCAGTTGGTTAAGTGTCTGCCTTTGGCTCAGGTCATGATCCCAGGGTCCTGGGATCGAGTCCCGTGTCGGGTTCCTTGCTCGTCAGGGAGCCTGCTTATCCTTCTGCCTGCCCCTCTCCCTGCTTGTACTCTCTCTGTCTCTGCCAAATAAATAAAATCTTAAAAATTTTTTTTGAGTAGTTAGATTTAAAAAAATTTATTTGTGAAAATTAGCAAAAACTGACCTGTTCTTTGCCTGTACTTCAGCATTTAAAATCTATTAATAGGGCCACTTAACTGGTTAAAGAGTTTTTTTAAATCTTTTAGAACAGTGTGAACAGAAATATGATGCAATCACATGTATAATTTTAAGTTTTCTAGTAACCACAAAAGCAGTAAAAAGCCCTTGAAAATAACTTAATTTTTAAAATTATTTTATTTATTTTTTAAAGATTTTAAGTAATCTCTAGACCAAATGTGGAGCTTGAACTCACAACCCTGAGATCAAGAGTTGCATGCTATACTAAGCCAGCCATTTAATAATATGTTTTACTTAACCCCACATATCCAAAATATTATCATCTGGACATGTAGTCAGTATGAAAATGTTAGTGAGATAACACATTTTTTTTTCTTCCTAAGTAGCATGTATTTTTCACATACACCACATCTCCATTTGAACTTGCTACGTCTCAAGTGTTTAATGGCCATTAGTGGCTGGTGGCTACCATGTTGGCTGGTGGCTACCATGTTGGATGGTGCAATTCTAGAATGTAAACTCTGAAGGCAAAAACCATTTCTGTTATTACTGTAGTATCTCTGTCACCTAGTACTGTGACTGATCATGGTAGACACTCAAATTTGGTGAATGAATATTAATTCAGAGATGTTTTATAAAATTGTGGATTTTTTGTTTTTGTTTTTGTAAATTTGGAAAAGAGTTTGAATTCTGGCCATTTTATTTATAAAGATATTAAATAAAATTCTATTCCAGAAAAAGGTACACCCTCATTAATAGTGAAAGAAAATCAAACTAGAAGGGGTGCATTTTTTTTTTTTAAAGATTTTATTTATTTATTTGAGAGAGAGAGAGAATGAGAGACAGAGAGCACGAGAGGGAAGAGGGCAGAGGGGGAAGCAGACCCCCCGCTGAGCAGGGAGCCCGATGCGGGACTCGATCCCGGGACTCCAGGATCATGACCTGAGCCGAAGGCAGTCGCTTAACCAACTGAGCCACCCCAGGCGCCCCGGGGTGCATTTTTTTTAATGTAATAAAAGTTTTTTTTGGTAGTTTGTTTTGTTTTTGAATGAGAGGAAACTCAGTGCTGGCAAGATTATAGTGAATCTACTACACAGAACTACATATGATAGTATAAGGTCATATGATTCACATACCCTGTTAGTTCACTTTTTGGCACCATTGATGAATCATGCACAAACATTAATCTCAAATGTATAATAAACCTGAGTCTGCTTCCATGGATTCTGGCTTCTCCGTGTTACTACAGCTTCCATTTAAAGCTAGGTCCTTCA